GTTTTCAAACAGCAAACTGTTACTTTCCATTTATTTTAATGATCTTTTTGATTCATTGTGACTATAAAATAGATAGTATTAATAATCCTACGCATGCTTTTAAGCTATGTCGCACAAATACAGGTACCCAAGGAAAGTGGGAGCACTTCTGCTTTTGCTTAAAATTGCACCGTTAGAGAGGGAAGAGCAAGTGCAATACGCTGGTCTGCGTGACTCAGCCACCTTTCAATATGACCTGAACGCCTAAACCATATGCTCCTATCCAAAGGAATGCATAACGTAGCTGGGGGAGCACAAACATACAAAAGCATTAGAGGATGTTGATCACCTAGTAAAAAAGCGTGAGTCAACATAACGCACCGCTGGAAAGGAAGGGCTGGCCTGAAAGAGGAATTTGTGAAATCTGAGCGCTCATGGGGACTTCCCCGCGGCTCCCTCCCAGGCACGCGGCCGGGAGAGAGGCTGCCGAGGCAGGAAGCCTTTCCCCATCATTAAGCATCAGCTGCGCGCTGCGGCAGGCCTCGGGTGGGCTGGGGCAGCCCGGCTCGCGTGCGGAGCCGGTTATGAGTCTTACTTTAAGGCTCACATGAATTCCTATCGCCAATGAGTATTCACACGTTAGTCACAAGACCCCAGTAAAGGCTTGGATCACCGAAACGCTGGCATGGGCAAACCCCTTGCCCCGGTGGTTGCTGCTGTGGTACACGTACCTACTTCAGCGCTCTAGCACACGTGTGAATGCGAGACCTCACGGTACATTAAAGCAGGGCTGTGACACCTTTTCACTACAAATCCCCCATATGTACTACATAAATGCATAATTACAAACTAATTTCAACTCACTCGCATTTTTTGTAAAAGAAATGTTTTGTTTTGTATTCACAGGGCTAGCCGAGCGCGTTCTGCAGTGAACTGCAGCACATCCAGCACACTCCTATTAAGCATTATCGGTTTGACACCAGACAACACAACAGGCATGTGATTTTTCTGTCAGCTTTACTCTGTCAAAAATTAAGTCAAGCTCTGCTCGGATGGTCACGCTTAGCCCTGGTTGCTTGGCTTCAGCTGGAGCACCGGCACCCAAAACACGGTCCGTTGCTACCTGGAGAATTAACAGCCCCCTTCCCTAACGTGTCTCATCTTCGGCCCCGATTCGGAAAGCCTTTAGGCACGAGCCAGCACCGGCACGGCCTATAGCCACGACAGGTTGTTCCTGTTAGTAAAGAAATCCCCTGCTCTGTGACTGGGTTTGAATTTTAGTTTGTTGCAGCTTCGCACTCCCGACAGACAGCAGGTTAATACAGCACGCAACCCCGTCCCGGCCCCGCTGCGGGTACGGGGTGGGAACTGCAGAGGACTGACCTTCCCCTCTTACTCACTGAATGCCTCTACCTCTGCAGGTGGAAGAAAGTATCCCAAGACACACAGTTTTTTTTTTCCTCTGTAAAGCCTTTTTGCTCACATTGAAGAGGTGGCTGTGAGCTGGCACTCACAGCAAGCAGCATGTTTTGCTGCCTGGATAGCTGCTCAGTGGTAACTACGCTGAACCCTAACTCATTGCAGGTAATGTGTCAAAAAAAGGAGCTGAAACAGCCTTTTGGTTAGTGCGAATCACAGCTAAATCCAGGCCAGTGCCCTGGAAACTGCTGCAGGTCCCCAGTCGCACTAACGCTCGGCAGAGATCCGTAATGCACACAAATGGCTCCGGAACACAGGCACTCGCTACGAAAGCATTCACAGAAAAAGCCCGGACCGCTTTACAGCAGCTTTCCAAGCTTGCGAGCTGCGGGTATGGCACATGCAGGTGTGGCCCGAATTATGGGGGTGAGGGCAAGCCCCGCAGCTGGACACAGGCTGTGCTCTCGAGGTGATTTACGTTCACTCTCCTGAGAGCAAACACTGATTTATTCCGTTGTGTTTTGCATGCAAGCACAGTGTTCAATAAGAGCAACGCTCCTGCAAAGACTCCTGTAGGTCCTATGACATCCAGCGTGCACTAATGCTCTGCCTGGACTATAAATATGAACAAAATGCCAAAGTGTTTAGGTATAGCCGGTAACTTCTCATGGTACATCTGCCAAGTTCTGTTGCACAATGTTAATTAGACCTGTCACATAATTACAAGAGCGTGGTTACTGGTATAGCTGTAACTACACAGAGCAAAACCGTCTTCCCTTTCAAATTACTTGAAGTTCAATTTAATTTTACAATTGTACCTCTCTGGTGTAATAATAGTATTCCCCCTGTTTTTATGCCTCGCTAAGATTTTTTCTTTCACCACACCATGGCAACATGTCTATCTTCCCTCCTAATGTGGGAGTCGATCAAAGCTTTCCAAGCGCTATGGGTTACTCACCAACAGCTGAATAAAAACAAACCTTTCTGGAGTCTATTTGATATCTCCAGAAGATTTTAAAAATAGAACAATAAATTAGGTATAAGCACATATAACATGACAGCCCAGGGGATAGAGCTCAGTCCAGTTACAGGAGAGCAGGGAGGAAGGCAGAGAGCGGGATTAAAGCTCATTTTTTTCATTCTCTGTGTCTGTATCATCACATCCCTGATGCAAGGGCTCTTGCACATTCTCTGTGCAAGATTAATTGCCTTGAACCAAAGCAGAACAGCTGAACGGCTGCTCTACCATATGCTGACTGCCTATACATCAGGGACGCCAAAACATGGATAAAATAATGCAGGTTGCCATTTGCCTCACTTCCCATCTTATACACATGCCCCTTCTCCTTTCTAAACATGGATCTAATTTTTTAATAGGGCAGAATACAACACTGGGAAGGGCAAGCATTCCCATATAGGAGCATTAGCATGTTATTCTTTATGGTGCAGATTCACAATTTCATTTTGAAGAAACACCCAAGTTATTGCCCAGGGCCAATAACCAGATTTCTTGCCTTTCTCCAGTGGATCTTGCCATTTTGCTTTCAGCTTTGGAAGCATCCATGTGTTTTGCCTTATGCTCGTTTGCTCGCAGATGAAGTATCAGTGAGGCAACAACAACTCCAAACAGATTAATCAGCGCGGTACTGCTAGTCTTGTCCATTTTTCTCGTGATATGCTAAAAGCAAGCACAAACCTGCTGCTTGTCTGCAAAATCTAGAGATCTGGCTGTCTCCAAGTTGGAAGAGGTAACGTTATGTAGACTTAGCCAAGGGGAAGAAACCCTGACTGTTCTCCAGAGCTATGGTACTAGCAGGGCTTATTATTAGCATTTATGAAATCTGCTTCCAAACAAGCTGCCACCTCCCAAATCACCACCAAGGGAAGATGCACTTTTATAAACTTTACAAAGTCGTTTTTTTCACTAACTTTCATCCAGTTGCCTAAACTAGAAATGAAGTGACCAAGGAATTATTTTCAAGTACTTTCCTACTTCAAACATGCACTTCTTTTATCAAAATTCAGACATTAAAATTCTATCCTGAATATTTTGCAATTTAACATAAAGAATTCCTCGGGGGAAAAAAAAAGGAATTAATCAACTATTTTCATGGCAATAAGTTGTGCGTTTTTGATACTTCCACCACTTTTCTCAGCCTGCTGAAGTCCAAAGGCAATGCACAATCCACAGCAGGGATCCAAAATGAAAACATGCATGCAGTTGCACAGGAAAATGTAGCTGATTTGCTTTATCCCGTGAGTGTCAAAAATCTGTCATTTATCCTCAGTTTTAACCTAATATTTTTAGTATATTATTTACAACTTCTTAAGTAACAGACACCAATTACACATGGAGCGTAAGATGTTCTGAAATAGGGAATGTTTAAGAATATGGCTGCAAGTCAGAATCGAGGGATCTTCTGAAATGAAGGTCTTCGGGTACCAACTGGAGATCTCTCACATTTATCAGCCTCAAAACAGGTTTCGTGGTAGGTCTACCCCGGCGAGCAACGTGCAGCCCGGGAAGCCTCCTGGGCCATTTCACTTACCGAGAAGAGAGGCTGGGCTTGCCGCTTTTGCTGCAGCTCGTATAAATTCCCGGGCCATCATCAAAGAAACTTCCAAGGGCCAGTTTCTGCCTGATGGACTCTCTCTCATTCTTCTGAGCCTAAAAGCGAAGGAAAACAAAAAAGGGTTAAGCTGTTGGTCACATCGTGGTCATCAGCAAGTTGACTTCCGGCAAGGATTAACACTGACCTAGCAGAAGCCTACGTTCACACGGCAAGCAGAGCTGGACGCGCTGCCGCGTGCCTGCGGTGCCCCACGGATGCCGGACCACACGCATGACTTCTCCAGGCATGCAGCCTGGCGAAACGCTCGGCACCAGACCGCGCGGCAAGCCGTCACCAGGACCCACGCTCGCACCAGTGTCTTTCGCCTCCCTCAGCCGCCGTCTCCAAAATCAAACAGAAAGGTTCTTTCTGCAATTGGGGATGATGGAAATCGCACCCCGTTCATGGGAGAGGAACGCCTAGGACTCGGCGATTCCGCCAGGTTTGTGCCTTCACGATGCTGCCCTCAGAAGTACCGCGTCCCGGCGCACGCGGACTCGGGAGAGATCAACTGGGCTTGTAGGATTACGGGTAAAGAGGTGCCAGGGCTGCACACCGACTGCCTCTGCGCGTGCACAGGTATTAATATGCACCGATGGTCCTCTGTATGCATGGACCTGTTCTGATGAAGTGTTTTCAGTCATTGCAAAATAACGTCTCAAGCAGGCAAAACAAGTATCTGAAAAGGCAGGACGAGCAACCACACTTGGACTACCATATCCTCCTATTTCCTTCTCCAGCCAATGTGCTCAGGGATGTATATTTAACCACGACAACCAAATCATCCATAGTTAATTTTTTTCAAGAAAAGGTAGGTGACAAAATTATCTAAAATTAATCACCGATCAATGGCTAGGGAGATGACTGTGTACTCTTAAGTAATCCATGTGCAATAAATGAAAATGACAGATCTCCATTTAAAATTAATACAAGTACCATGTGAGCAGTAATGGATTATGTGCCCACACTGACAGCAAATACCCACAAGAAGGCATGTTGCTAACACAAGGAACATTTTCCAGCCTTCAAGCAGGCTGTTCTGAAGTAACCCAGAACACCTGACCAAAAACATGCAGCAAAGGAAAAAATACCATGCCAGCATGGGCTACTTCCACTGGGTTAATCTAAATGTATTTGTATGTACCATATTTTACCTGTTGGAGATCACCAAAATAAAGTACCTTTTTTGATACAGGGAAGTTGGATATAATTGGATGCAAATTATTAACTTAAAATAGCTAATAATTTAATTCTAACTTCAGTGCTGACTACATTTATTATGTTATTGTATCGTCCATTATATCGTCACTCCCTTATCAAACACGCACCTCGTTTCTAAGCCAACTCCTTTTTAATCACTACACACAATAATTTAAAATATTGTAAATAAATCTGATAGCATCAAGTAGAATTGAATTGTCAAGTCTAACTCCTCTTCTCAGAAGCTTGTAACTAGACTGTCCAACCAAACACGTTCTCTGCTTCACTTCCTAGGGTTTCCGTAAACAAGGCCCCAGTCACCCTTTGTGACGCAGGAGAAGAAGGAGAAGAAGGAGGAGAAGAGAAGGAAGTCTCACGTACGCAGCGCGGATTAGGAGCCTAAAGAACATAACCTGCTTTCATTTATTTGTCTTACTGTTGGCAGCTGATGCTTTCCTGCCTGGTGTGAAGGAGTGCCTCTGCTTCACAGAGTACCGCCACGTCTCCCGATTTCTGGTGGCTCCATCGGTAGCGTTTCTAAGTAAATAAACCTATATTCCGGTGTTCGTTGTGAACCAGCTTCTCTAAAATTTCAAGCGACTCACAGGTTTTCATTTATCCAATACAAAGCTCTTCACTCCAAAACGCACAGGGGCAAGGCACTGCCGGCATCCCTCTCCAGCCACCTGAGAGCTTCGAAAGCACCTTTGCTGCTACAGGACGCTCCAGCACGAGCGCTCAGCAGGCTCTCCGTGCACGCAGCACAACACGAGCAAATCACTTTTTAAGCTATTTTTTATGCAATCTCCTACTTACTGAAGGAGCTTCTGCTCTTATGTGCAGTAACATTTTGTAAATTCAGAAAAGAAGCCACTGTTTTGAAGAGCAAATCAAGAAGCGATGACATAATACACTGTTTGCCACGGAAAAGCTTTACAGACTGAAACCAGGCCCAGTTTGCCCATGCATATTCCCGGCTCTGCTCAGCCTTACGATGCTACACAAACATCTTCTCCCAGGGCAGCACTGAAGCCACCGAGCTGGGCCTTCACACTACCATCAGCAGCTCCTGAATTCTAGTAAGTCTCAGACCTGCATATCTGTAAAATTAATTTAAGCCTACAAACACTTAAGATAGATAAACACACATGTAATACTGAATCCTTAAGTCATCCATGGAGAGAAGTGAAATGTTCAAATGTTGATGTTACAAGACATTAAATGAACCATGGCGTGCTGCATTTTAAGGTGTTTTGCAGGAGTGTAAATAAAGATTCAAAGCACCTACTCACAGTAGCAAGCAATATTCCTAATATAGTGGTACCGGACTGGAGACTTTGCCAGAAGCAAGATGTCAATAAAACATCAGCATATACTGTAATGTATAAGCAGAAGTTGTAGATGGGCAGCTTTTAGGATTATGGCTACGTAAGAAATACTCATAGATGTGTTGTACATACTCCTTTCTTCACACAGACGTTTCTAAAAATCTAAACCCGAGTTCAGCATTTTTTAAGGGCCAGATGCATCCTCCAGCTCCGACAGGAAGCGGCCGGCACGGACCTTCCCCGAGCAGCCTGCCCTCCTGGCAGACGGTCACCAACGCTTGGCCAAGGCACTTACTCGGAGGTGAAAAGCACCTTTGTTGCTACCCCTAACACGGACCGAGCGAGCAAAAGCGTCGGCTCTTGCCGGGGTTTTAGATGGTGCTCCAGGGCCCCGCTGGGACCGGGTCCCCAGGGTGAGCGCTGGAGCAGAGAGGCCCCAAAGCTGACCAAATACCTGGTGCCATGACTGCTCTCGTGGCCGAGGCTACTGGTGTTTGTCTCGCTGCTGCAGGCTTCTCCTAGGTATGTCAATATTTCATGAAATCGTGGATACCTCTCCTCCCCTGCTTCTCAGCTCAGACAATCTATTTCCTTATCTTCCCATCTAATTACTTACTATTTTCTGTGCCCTAATATTGTGTTTCTATAGAAATTTCAGGAGCCAAAAATACCTCTCTACCTCCCATGGGCAGCTGATGCTTTCAAGGCTGACTCCAGCTAGGATTGCTCTTGCACCCATCAGCATGCCCACGTTTTCTGTGCGCTGAACCTTGTTCTGCATTAAAACACAGACAGACAGACAGACAGACAGACACACACACACACACACACACACACACTTTCACATATTTACGCCTTTCAGATGGTGCTGTTTCTCCAGACCTTATCTGTATGTTGAATCAACGCGCAATTTGTTTCCTCCACCAGGTCATTACTGAGGATACTAAATAACACTATTCCCAGTAGTGAACTCAAAATATCCCATTTTACAAAACACCCACCGGATAATGACCATAAAGAAATCAAGAGTACTATTTGTTATTATAAAATAGGGAACAGTTACTAAGAAATATAGTATACCTAAGGGAACTGGACTTTATGCTTTAGACAAATTACTCAACAGCTGCATTATACATCCTGAGCTGGGAAACTATGGACGGAGAAAGAAATGCAGAAATGTTTCTTTAACTGTTAAATACACTTCCTTTGCATCTAAAAGTAACAGATGAAATATTTGAAATATAAAAGTATTATCAAAAAATATGAAAATGTTATTTAAATGTATATTTTGACACTACATCAAAAAAATACGTGCATTTTTAAAAAAGGGGCCTGTTGCAGAACTAAAGTCTAATCTGTTTAGACTCTGCTCATTTAGAAGAGCTAGACTATTATTTTAAGGAAAAGACTGCTTTTTATTTTTAAGGAAAAACACTCGTGGGTGGATGTTTTCCTTGCTAACATTTACAGAATTCATCAGCGTTTCTCTCCTTCTCAGCACTAAGACTTTCTGCGAGCAAGCCGGGCAATTCCTGGCAATACAGCTCCTTGCAAGCGGAAACGGAAACAGGAAAGAAAGGAAAAAACCAGCGGAACTAGCTTCCACTCTGGGATCTCGCCGGCAATCCCAGGGTAAGGCTCCTCAAGGCTTTTTTCTTGCCCCATCCTCGGCAACGAGATACCAAACCCATTTGTGGGCGTTTCCGAGAGACGGGCGTCGGCGGCGCATCGAGGTTTAGCCACAGAGACTTGGGGATTGCCTGAAACGACGAGCTCCCAGCCACCGGCCTCCCGCGGCCCCGGCCGCTTCCCGAGGCGCGGCTGACGGGGAGCGGAGGAATTCACAGCGGGGGACATTTCAAAGCCCGCCGCGGTCTGGGAAACTGGTTTTCCTCTAACAAATGGGTTACTAGGTAGTTTGACTTAAAATACAATTTGAAAGGTCAGTAGCTGCCTTCGTTTAAGTACACGCATAAAAATATAATGCTAGATTATGGCCTTAACTGCCTACACCTATCACACTTGATATTACAGTCACAATAAAGGTAAATCGCCAGGAAAAGTTCAGACTTGGAACAAAAGCGCAGCAGTGAATTCGCCAGCACCAGCCCAGGCGAAGGGTATTCCTCCAGCCCTTAGCGCACGCCCTCGTTATTGCTGTCTGTAAGTCTCTTACCATTATCTCTCCACTGCTGGCAGATCACACCCCGAGCAACTCGTATCCCTCATCGCTCCGTCCCGCTGACGACACAGCCCTGACGGCCACCGCCGGGCCCCGGCCCTCGCTCGCGG